AGATTCTGAATACTTTACTAGAGCTGCAATGGTAGAGACAAGGTTCCTGCAGAACCCTTCCCTCAACCTCACAAGGATCTTATAGTCTGCAGGAGCCCCCTTGACTCTTCACTCTCTAGCTGCAGTAGCAATAGACACACTGTGTGGGAAACAAATCCTTATTTAGCTACTCGCTATCTGGGCTTGGCAAACTGCTGTGCACATTCATTAGTCAGGTTTCTCAGCTCTGTGACCTAAATCCTTTTCCCAGAAAAAATAAAGGAATTTCTCAAAGGCTCATTTCTATTAAAAAATTTCATCCTTCAACTCTGTTGTTTTGATTGCAGAGTGGAGTAAATAAAATACTTGCTGAGATTATTTTTAGATCATGGAAAAATATTTTTATCATTTCCATTTTGCTTAGTCTCCAGCTATTTTTGCTCAGATTTCAAGAAAAAAATCCCTTACTAGTCCAGAAAGGGAGAATTTCAACCTGAGAGGTGAAAGTTTTAGAAAGTTATGAGCTTCTGAAGAGACCAGGAGTGGGAATGGTTTTGTAATCTTAACGGTGGCTGTCATAGTTGTGACCATTTCTGTGCCACTGAGCAACCACATCTGGCTTTTGAGATCCCCACAATCAACTTGCTTCATTGCCAGTCTTGTGACTCAGATGGATTTAGTGTCAGATTCTTATCACTCCTAGAGTTGGATGAAAGAGGAGATGAATGCCACTGTCAGCAGCAGCATCAACACATAGGTAGCATTGTCATCTGTTTTCCTGGTCCTTTAAGCAAATGACCATCTGTAGGTTTTGGTCATAATCAGTAAAGGGGGCAGGTGGCAGGATGATGGCAAGGTAGGCAAAAATGAAACAAGAAATAAACTTAACATTGTAAATACCGTGATGTGTGACCATTGAGCTTTGGGTTTTGGTCTGGAACACAGACATTCAGCACACTAAGCTGAACGTAACTGTAAACAAGACCTTCACAACTTAGCCTGGGGTGGGCAGGAGGCGGCTAGCGGGCCAGATTCAGTCCTCCAAGCCACCAAATCTGGCCTGCAGCCATCTCGCCAGCACCCGTACTACAGAATAGCTGCAGCCTCTTTAAACAGCTGGCTGCTAATAGCTATTCAGTATGGTCAAGGAGGAGAAAGCTTCATGCTGTCCTCACCAGTTTCTGGACAATAGTAGCTGAGAAATTTTTCCAAAGGCAGGGGCAGCAAATGAAGCCTCTTCACTCCCATCTCAACCTCCCTCCTCCCCTTCCCACCTCTGCTGGAGCAGAGCCCGCCCAGCACATAGGCAAGTTTGTGCAGAGCTGCTAGCTGGGAGCTGTATAGGTAAGCACCTCCTAGACTAGAACCTGCCACTGCCATCCCACCCTCTTCCTCCTCCCCCAACTACCTGTCCCAGGTTACCACCCAAACCCCCTGTATTCCCTCTTCCTACTTTCTTCGGGTCACAGCTCCCTCCCTGACCCTGCACCCCATTTCCATGCCTCATGTCACCACCCAAACCCTCTACAACCCCTTATCCCAGGTCACAACTTCCTCCCAGACCCTGCACCCCCTCCTACATGCCTCCCCCAGGCCAGAATTCTCTCCTGCACCCATAACCCCTCCTGGACTCTGCATCCCAAGGCCCTGTATCTTTTTGGGTGTCTGGCTGATGAGTCTTGCCCACATGCTCAGGGTTTAGCTGATTGCCATATTTGGGGTCGGGAAGGAATTTTCCTCCAGGGTAGATTGGCAGAGGCCCTGGAGGTTTTTCGCCTTCCTCTGTAGCATGGGGTACAGATCACAGCTGGAGGATTCTCTGCATCTTGGGGTCTTCAAAGTATTTGAAGGCTTCAATATCTGAGATATAGTGGAAAGGATTATTCTAGGAGGGGTGGGTGAGATTTTGTGGCCTGCACTGTGCAGGGGGTCAGATTAGATGATCATAATGGTCCCTTCTGACCTTAAAGTCTATGAGTCCCTCTCAGACCCCACATACCCTCCTGCATCCCAGTCTCCTCTATCCTAAGCTGCCTTCTACACCTCACCCCACATTCCAAACCCCTCTCCACAGAAGTGCAGCCTTTGACCACTTACCAAAATCTTGGAGTGCCTCCCCCCATTAAAAATTATTGCCCACCCCTGACTTAGCCCCTTGCATATCTGTTTGGTTTAGACTTTCCAACACTAGTTTAAAAGCCTCGTTTAATTTTTATGTTGAATTCTCTTACACTGTGTTATAACAACTCTGCTGTAAGATTGTTTGCATACATTTTTGGTTTCGTCAAATTTGACATAATTGTCGATCATCTAATTTGTGGCTTGTTGCAGAGGACACTTTCAGTGACTTTGTGAATTATGGTGCAAATCTGATCTTGCTGTGTAGTAAATTACATTACTTTTCTGCCTGTTGTTATATACTAGTATTCTCTTATTTCCACTGAGATTTTTCAGATCACTCTGAAACGGATAGAAATGCAGGGCTGATGATATAGTTCATCTACTTGGGGAAAGCTGAATTGTCTTTGCTTTTAGTAAGTTCATTAAAATACTTTGCAAAAACATGGTAGAAAAGGCTTCATTTGTCAGGGGTGAATGGAAAGTTGAAACTACGTTGTAACTTATTTGAAAAATACTCCAAGTTATCAATTCAAATTCTGACACTAACCTTAATTCTGTTTCTATATATAGCCTTTTGTTCTCAGCTTACTCGTGGGAAATAAACATCAGTTGCCACACAAGAAAGAAATCTCCCTATTGCATATATAAAATATAAGAACTGGTATTGAATCATATGCTACAGCTAGCATTCGCTCTTCTAGATTACTCTGTATCCAGAATTTAGTTTCATCTTGTAAAGATGGATGGGTTGTCATGAAGTCTAATCCGAATGAATAGAACACATGGAATACTATTTTATCACTTGCCTTTATTTGGATTTCTGGCCAAGATCAGTATCATCCCATCCTCATCTGTTTTAGATGCTGGGGTATGAGCCCCAGCTCATGTGGGGTGGGGGACAAAGGGTAGGATTATTTCTCTGTAACATTTGTAGAAGATAAGATGATCTCATACTTGAAGCAAGGGTTGCTGGTCAGTAGTCAATGGGTGGGCTGGGTTTCCAAACTCGTTTGTAATTTCCTTAGGGTTTGTGGCCTGTATTGTAAAATTTAGATTTGGGTAGGGGTTGGAGAAGAAACAAATAAAATGTCCTGATTTATGAGCATTTGGAGGTTTTAAACTTTAATGGTCTATTAGTATATTAAAGGGAAGTAATCTCCTCCTAAATGAACTTTTTTGTAGGCATTTTGTTAGGCCCTTTAAACAATTTTGAAGATTACAGAGCAGTCCATTTTTGTTAGTGTTTCACCTATATCTGTCCGTTTATCTACAAAGTGGTATAGTTGAAAGCCAGTAGAATGCAAAACCTAAGTTATGTCATAGGGCTGCATCCAGAGATCGTTTTTGTAAGACCAGGAATTAAATGCACAAAAATACAGAATTGCAAAGTCAAGGCATATGAAGAAATTCAAAAGCTACAACAGCCATGTTGCCCATATGTGCCAGGACAGCAGTATTTTAAGTGTAGTATTTTCAAAGGGACCGAAGGGCATTATGTGTTCCATTCCTATTGCAATTCAGTGAGATTTAGGCTTTTTTGGAAATCCAAGCTAAGTGACTGTGAAGTTAATGTATACCTTTATTATCATTTGTGTGGTGAACACTGATAATGTTGCCGTGGGGGGCACACTTGTACATTTCCTGACTTTTGAGTTGAAATTCTCATTCTATAGTAGTTTGCGTTTAATGGGCTTCACATAGAATGTAGGATCTGGGAAGGGAAGAGCATTCCAGGAGTTCGTCTCCTTCCCCAGAGCATACATTATGTTTTATGAAAATAATGAGTCCCATGGCACCTTAAAGACTTACAGATTTACTTGAGCATAATCTCTTGTGGCAAAGCCTTACTTTGTCAGATGCATGGAAATTTCAGGGCTTGTGCTCAGCCCTGGGGTGCATGACACTCAGAATAAAGGCTGAGAGTAAGTGGAGCCACGAGCATCACTTGCTGAGTTCCTTACATGGAACCAGTGGCTACATGCTATAATCTGGCCCAAAGCATATGTAACCTGATGTCCAAGATGGGGCGGGGCTGGGCTGGGCTCAACCAGTTTTTCTAGGGTACCCTTTGCTTCCTAGGGACAGAGAGAGGGAGCAACAAGGGGAACTGAGTGCATTTCCTTGGCATGTGTCATCCTCTTCACATAAAGACGTTCACAATCTGGTCCTCAGCATTTATTTCCCCCATGAAAACATTTTTAATCTGATGTCCCATGCAGAAAGTGTTGTACAGTAATTCCTCATTTAACACGTGCCTGCTTAACACGTTTTTGCAATAGCACGATTTTTTTTGGGAACGTTTTTTGAATTACACAACCGTCTCCAGAATAACATGACTTTCCCAGCCAGCCTTTGCTGGAGGCTATGCGGGGCTTCCCCTGCCTCCCTGTAAAGCGGCATAGGGTTCGCCGCTCGCCGCGCCATTCCCCAGCGACCTCCCCTCGCTAGATGCAGTGCGGGTCCCAGCAGTCCTGTCACAGGGGCATACTCTCAACCCAGTTCCCCTCTCCTTCTCTTCCCCAGAGCCAAACACCTCTCCTCCCTGCTGTAACCCAGTCCCCTTTTTCCCTCAACCTTATGTCCTTGTCCCAACAGACACCACTGCTTGAAATGCAACCCCCACCTTTTCCATTATTTTCAATGGGAAAATTGACCCCGCATTACATGTTTTCACTTAACATGATCATTTTCTGAAACGTATCGGTAGTGTTAAATGAGGAATTACTGTATTTGTTCAAATATGCACATTTATTTTCTTGTTTTCATCCATTTCTGCTCTTGCTAGAGAGACACGCAGTGAAACTTTGGTCAGGCTTAGAAGTCAGATTGCTGGTCTCGCCTTCAGAATTGTGGTAGTTTGGCATAATTTTGATTTTTCCATTCTCTTTTCATCTCTCTAGGACTTCCAAGGTTCACCAGCCAGCCAGAATCAACGTCTGTCTATAGAGGAAACAGCGTAATTCTGAACTGTGAGGTCAATGCTGATCTAGTACCATTTGTGAGGTGGGAGCAGGATCGTCAGCCGCTCTTTATGGATGACCGTTCATTCACACTGCCAACGGGAGCCCTAATCATTAGCAATGTTACGGATGGGGATGAAGGACTCTATCGCTGTGTCATGGAAAGTGGTGGGTCTCCCAAATACAGTGATGAAGCAGAGCTTAAAGTTCTTCCAGGTACTCATCTCTTTGTAAACCCTTAATCTGTCCATTTGCATGCTTGTGTCTTGCCTCCTTTAGTGATCAAATGAAAGGAAAACCTACTAGGAGCACTTCTAGGAGAGAGGGAAAAGAAATGTGGCAAGCAGCAGTCTGCTGCCAAATGACAGCTGGCCCTTTAAGTGCCATAGAAGTAATCACAGCGATAAAGCAGTTGAGAAGTGTGCTGGAAAAGCGTCCCTGTGAAAAGTTCTCTGTGGCTGAGCGTTTGGTTTGTAAGGAGGCAATTGTAAAGGAAAGGGTGGTCACTCCTTTGAGGCAAGTTGTATAGCTAGACATCTTCATGTTTTCCAGAATGGAGCCCCGTGATTTTCAAACGGGACTGGTTTAGGCCTCAGGTTTAGGGTTCCCACCTTGAGGCATTTCTAGAAAGACCTAGTTTTTAGAAAGCACCGAGCACTCAGCTGCTGAAAATAAGGCCCATTTAAGATGTTGCCAACTTAGCACCAAAACTCACTAGTCCCTTCCGGAAAATCTTGGTCGCATTTATCTTTTTTCAGGGACAACCTTTCTGTAATAAATCTAAGGTGCAGCTACTACTTGCAGTTTAGTATAGTTGGTGTACTACAGGGCGACTCACCAGCAGAATGACTACATATTATATCAAGGACATGGCTATGAAAACGGATCAGAAGTAAGACATTGATTTGGATGGCAGCTCCAATCCATAGCTCTTCTGACCAGTACGAGAGCTTGCCTAATAGGAATTTTCCCATTGATTGTGCAGAAGCTTTGATTCTCTTAACTTTTCTGATGGTTTAGAGTTCTGATTCCATTGCCACTACTTGAATAACTCAGCTGATTGGGAGCTTTCAGTTTAAACTGCCATGAAAAAGTGGGAACCCAGCATCGAAAGCAGCTGTCATTCACATCGTTTCCATGTTTTCCATGTGTGACGGTGTGTCGGGGAGCCCCTGACCCTGCGCCCCCATCCACAGCCAGTAGAGCAGAAGGTTTTATTGGTTCTCAGGGACACAGTGCAGCATAGGATCGATGTTAGCATAAGCTCCAAGAGCAGACAGCCTTATTCCTCTCGGGGATGGGGCGCCCAGACCTCCTTAACCCCCTTCCTGCTCTCAGTCTCCCCTCCTCGTCCTAGCCCAGCTGGCAGCCATGCCTCTTGCTTTGTTCAGATTCCTCCGCCTAGGCCAGGTGTCAGGCCGGCTGGGTCATTGCCTAGGTGCCTCCCCTCAGGGACCCATCCCCCGCTGGGCACTGCACACACGCACACGCACACACAGAGTCTCTGCAGACCAGCATAGGGCAGTAGGGATCACACACTGCACAACACAGCAACCAGTGAATGCAAAGCCAGAGTGGATCTAGGGTCACAAGAGTGGACAGTGTCCCCACTACGTCATACCACGGCAGTTTAACTTGACTGAAAGTACTCTTCAGGTTGCCTTTTGCACTGACTTGTAGTCATTTTTTCTGTGCTAGGGATAGAGTTTGAGTCTCTTTATAGGTTTCAAACCATTACACTGGCTGCAGTTTGCTTTTAAAATATTTTCTGTGTATTTGCAGGGCTCTAAAGATGTCTAACTTGGTGGTTACATAGGGATTTTTCTGAATTTCTGTCATGCTAGCTAGCCCTCCTCCTTGTAGGTATCTTGTGCAATACTATAATAGACATTAGGGACTCCACTTACTGACTTCTTTCCTTGTTTGGGGAAATGAGGAAGTGTTGACAATGAGTATAGAGCAGGAAATTCAATCTTCTCTAGAATGTTGCGTTTGTCTCTTTAAATGGAAATTCAATTGTCCCTTCGAATGTTCTGTGTTTCTATGTCTTGGCAAGACAGGTAAGTGATTGCGCAATTTGAGATTGATGTGAATGAAAGACCTGTCTCTAATGCTCTGTACTCCATTCTATCCCTCACTGCAAATCCGTGCCTCTGATCTGAACAGTACCCCTACAGTGTATTGGATTTTCAGAGAACATTGACACGTATATTTCTCAGTGCTGATATGGGACAAAACTTGAAGCCCGTTCAGCTTGGTTAGTGTACATGGGATGCTTGCAGATGCTTGCTGCCCCCTCCCTCCAAGGGGTGCTCAGAGACGTTTGCCAGCAGCCTTGAGCTTCCAGGAGTGGTGAGGCTGGGGCCGTGGCAGGCAGGCAGACTGCCTTGAGCATCCTGCTGGACCAGGGGACATTTGCAGCCTGATCTGTCCGCCAGCCCTATTTTGCCTACAGCTATATTAGAAGCTTGTGCCAATATGAGAAGCTCATAGGCGGTGTCTAATTTGCTGTCCCTTCAGCTTTGGGTCGTAACTGCTGCTCATGCTTGGGGTCGCCACAGTGGCCACTTCAAGTGTCCTATTTACGGGTTCCAAGGCGGCCTGGGGGATTGCCGGCTTTGGGGGAGGAGACTTGACACAGGGCGGCAGCAGAGGTAGCTCCCTCCCACTAACCACAGTGGCAGGATCTGGAGCAGCCCGACAGTCTGCTCCGCTCCTCTCCTCCCACTCCCAGCTCGCTGCACTTGACTTTGCAGAGTTCTCCAGCTCCCTCTGCCAGCAGGCTGGGAGAGGGCAGAGCAGAGCAGGCTGCTTCAGCTCCCACCACCATGTTGAGTGTTGGTCGGAGGGCCGATCCCTGCTACTGTGCCATGCCAGGCCCGTAGTGTCCCAGGGAAGGGGCTAGGCAGGGTAGAGCAGGGGCAGGGCTTGGGGATGGAGTGGCGCAGGAAGAGGGAGGGCAGCGCCTGCAGCAGGGGTTCCTCTGGGCCTCACAGCCCCCTAGGAATGGCCCTGGTAATGAGCAATGGCCTTGGTACATTTTTTAAAAGCTTAAAAGCCAGCTCCTGGCATGCGCCAGCTCCTGCCTGCAGTCCCACTCCTCCGGAGCGGGGTGGGAGCCTTTGTGTAACTGTGAACGTTAACCAATAAGCCCAGGCTTATCTACCAGCTAATCCCATCTTTTCAACCAGAAACCAGACTCCGCCTCCTGTGCATGTCTGCCCACCCCCCAATTTCCTCCACATTTCCCCTGAGCTGCAAAGGATCAGCCATCCCAGTCGACAGACACATTGCCTCAGAATGTGGTATTTTGATGGCATCTTCTCTAGAAGGGGCGTATTCATCAGAAGTGCAGTGGGAAAGCGTCCATTGAGTGTTCCTGCCAGGTTACGTGGAACTGCTTCATCTCCTGAGCCCAACAGAAGGGGCAAGTTCCCTCCTTTTAGCCTCCATTCTGTCCTTGAAGGTATTGGATTTCTCCCTCAACCTTCTTAAGGTAAACCCAGCAGCAGTTAGCACCATCCACCATCCCAAAAAAGGACATTCTGACTTTACATATCTGCTGATTGCTAGGCTTTGAAAGGCCTCATCAGACCTTCCCATATGATCCATCTCTCCAATTGAACCTTGAACTAGTTCTCTTGGCACTAATGGAACTGCCATTTGAGCTACTATCTTCTTGGGTTGTCGCTCCTTTCCAAGAAAGTCCCCTGACTTGTTTGTCATTTAAATGAAAATGGCAAGTGAACTTTGGAGCCATGATTACGTACCCTCCTTTCACCACTTGGTATAAAGATAATCTCACAGCACCTGCATCTGAGTTACTTCAAAAGGTCATTTTCCAGATTCCTCTCAAACTGTCTGTTCCCTTCCCTGCTTTCTTTCAAAAGCATCACCGCTTGAAAGAGAAATAACTCCACTCCCTTTGATGTCCATCAGCTCTTCGCCTTCTACTTGCAGAGGATAAGACTGATCAGGAAATTTCTTAGACTCTTTTGTTGCAAGAGCTGAAGGAGATAAAGGTCAAACAGTCTCCACTTAGATACTCTTCATGTGGCTTTCTGTGCATCAAACTCTGCGGTCAATTCTTGGAATTGCTTCCACCTTGTGGGATGTGGGCCCAATCCACAGGAGCACAGTCTTTGACCATGGCTTCCTTTCATGACCTGCCCCTCTGGGACATACGTTGAACAGCCATGTGGAGTTCAGTATATATCTTTGCTATGCATTATATCTTGGTGCAGGAATTGGCAGCAGATGCCTCCGTTGGTGCAGCTCTACTTTACTCAGCCATTCCATTTTCATCCTTGTACGCCCTCTGACTTAGTTATTGCTCATTAATCACCATCCCTTGAAAAAGAAGAGGAGGTTACTTACCTGTAAAGAGAGGTTCTTTGAGATGTGTGGTCCATATGTGTTCCACAATTCACCCTCCTTCCCCACTGCTGTGGATCTGTTGGTTTTGCAGCTTAGAAACTAGATACAGTTGGTCTGCCATGCCTTTATTGTCTCGGGTGAAACCATGAGGTGAGTGAGCCAAGGGCATATGCGCAAATTGGAAGATACTACCACTTTCAAAATCTGCAGCTCCAGGTGTATGGTGTGCATGCATAAATCCTTCCTGTGGTACAGGTAGGGATCACCCATGTAGAAGAATCCCAGCTACTGGTAAGTAACCTCCTCTTACTGAGTGGCAGTTTCCAAGTAGCTGTAGCTAGTTACTCAGCTGGATTCCTGGAAAATTTGGAGCAGGTTACTCCAATCAGAGCAATCAGAGCTCCAACAGCAGAGCAGTCAACTGGCATGTTGGAGCAGGAAGTCAGATGCAGCCAGTTAATTCTAGATTAGCCCTTTGCAGAAACTTAAGTTATAGCTAAGACAAGTTAGTGTCTGTAGAGATGCCTTCTTGGCACTGTAGTTTTGCGTTTATTGAAGCTTCACCAAAAAGTGGTAGAGAAGCAAATAGCTGCTTCATTGTTTTGAGCCCCGTGTTTTCTACTGAAGAGGAACAAAATGCTGAAGTTATTAGCTTGATGATCTTATTGTCTGTATTTGGTGTTTGAGAACGTAATTGTCATTTTCTTTACAAAATATTTGCAGATCCAGTCGTTCCATTAAGCCTGGTGTTTCTGAGGCAGCCTTCTCCACTTACCAAAGTTACTGGGCAAAGCGCAGTTTTTCCATGTGTCGCTGCAGGAGTCCCAACTCCAGTTGTCAGGTGGACAAGAAATGAAGAAGAATTTACCATAGAAGGGTGAGTAATGGCTACGAAACGGAAATTGACTTTCTGCTCACCTAAAATAAGTAATGTATGAATTATTTAGGCCAAGTCAGATGTATGGGTTTAGGCTAAAGTCCTCTCAGCTTTGTTTAATTTTAAAGTGACAGCAGGCTCTGCTCTTGTAATCTGGAGTCTTCTGGCTGAGGGTTGTGA